GCTGTAATCTTTATGGTAGTAGATCGTAAAATATATATAATTACACTATAGAAAATTTCCCTTTTGATTTTCTAACTCCAGGTCATTGTACGTTTCATAATACTTTGTCTTCTCAAGCTGCACTTTGAAATCTTCTGTTCAGATCAATTATTGAAATCAATAAGGATGAACATACTTGGTGTGGTAGTTCAGTTTGTGGGTCAGCTTGGCTGGGCCTGGTTGAGTGGCTGGGCAGCTGGATGTAGTATTCTTCAAGATGAGGCTGGTAATCAACTCCATGGTGGAATCTACTGTGAGCAGCTGAGTAACTGCCTTAGGGATGTGGTCTGCTTCCTGTATATAAGGAGAAGCCTTGGGGAATGGTCTCTAGCTTATGGCATGCTTGAACCCTGCATGTAGCCATTTCGTTGTTCAGCATCCTGCCGTGCTCAGCCGACCTGAGGACTTTCAGTGGACTTGAATTAATGGCCTACCATGTGGTTTGGTAATATCGGGACTGTGCCTTTTTACTTGTCAACCTTGGGCAGCTAGCAGCTATCTGAGTGAAAAAAAGCCTCTAGCTCCAGTGGGCTGGAAGCAGGAGGCAGAGCTGAAGCCCAAGGTCAATGGGCTTTCCCCCAGCCCCTAAAGCCTGGCACTTTTGGACTTGGACTTAAAGCCTCCAATCTGTAAGAGAATAAACTGCTGTTTGTTCAAGTATCCCATTTGTGGTATCTTCTGTCAGAGTGGCACTAGGTAACCAAAACACTTGGCATTTCTCAAGCTGAAAAAACTGAAAAAAAAAATTCAAGCCTCAAATCGCAATATTGAAGGATACAATGGGAGCTCTGGTAGTGTAGTGCCTAAGGCACTTGACTACTGACCAGAAGGCTAGCTGTTCAAACCCACCAGCCACTCCTCAGAAAGAAGACTGGGTTGGCAGAGCACGGCAGGCTGCTGAATGACGACATGGCTATATGCAGGGTTCAAGCATGCCATAAGCGTCTCTAGCTTCCCCAAGGCTTCTCCTTATATACAGGAAGCAGACCACATCCCTAAGGCAGTTACTCAGCTGCTCACAGACTGCCTCAGAAACTCAAGGAGGGGTCGTTATGAGTCGGATCCAACTCGATGACAGTGAGATGGGAAAAATATCTAGTAAGTTAGGAAGCATCAAAAGAAGATGGAAGGAATACATAGAGTTACTGTACCAAAAATAATTGATTGATAGTGACCCATTTCAGGAGGTAGCATATGATCAAGAACTGATGATATTGAAGGAAGAAGTTCAAGTGGCACTGAAGGAATTGGCAAATAAAACAAGGCTCCAGGAATTGACAGAATACCAATTAAGATGTTTCAACAAACAGATGTGATGTTGGAAGTGCCCACTCTTTAAAACAACAAGAACTCACTGTGTGGAGTCGAATCCAAGTCATAGCGACCCCTCCTTGGGTTTCTGAGGTGGTATCTCTACCGTAGCAGATAGCCCAACTTCCTTCTGAGGAGTGGCTAGTGAGTTTGAACCTGCAGACTTTTGGTTAGCAGTCAAATGTCTTACGCACTATGCCATAATGCCAGGAAATTTAAAAGACAGCTACCTGGCCAATCAACTGGAAGAGATCCACATTTGTGCCCATTACAAAGAAAAGTGATCCAACAGAATGTGGAAATTATCAAACAATATCATTAATATCACATGCAAGTAAAATTTTCCTGAAAATAATTCAAAAACTATTGCAGCAGTACGTTGACAGGAACTACCAGAAATTCAAGCTGGATTTAAAAGAGGACGTGGAACAAAGGATATCATTGCTAATGTCAGACGAATCTAGGCTGAGAGCAAAGAATACCAGAAAGATGTTTACCTGTGTTTTATTGATCATGCAAAACAACAGTGTGGGATTAAAAGCCAGGAAGCCAGACAGAGGAACAGTCAGCCACAGGGACCCAGGTGGGGGTGATACGAGAGGTCTCCAACAGCAAGACAAACTTCTCTGTCGGTTTGTCCTACTGTGGTGACATGTAGACGTGAGTTTTGAGGCTGAGCCTCTGGTGTTTAAAACCTAGTGAAATGCACTTGGTGCACAGCTAACAGCCCAGCTTATAGACTGAGACAGACTAGGAAGAAGGAAGAGGCCGTCCACTTCTCAAAGAATTGGCCAGGGAAAACCTTATGAATAGCAAAGAAACACTGTTTGGTGCATTACCACGCACCTTTAGGTATCTGAGAACCAGTTCAGTAAGGATGGATCTTTTATGGTATTCTGTTACATTGTGAATTCCAACTAGTGGGACTTCTCTGCAGAATTGCAATTAGGCTAGATGGTATTTGTTCAGTTGACTTCCTATGTTAATGTGGCTGAATTTCCCAAAGTAACCTTTCAGGCATCTGAAGTAGAATAAGTTACCATTAACTCTCCTGAGGAATTGATGTACTTGATTAACTTTCTCTGAAATTTGTGTCCTTTTCTATTAATGCAGTGCCTTGATAACTACAGTTTAGTAGGCTGTTGACAAATTTGTGTGTGTGTGTAGTCTTCTGCTATTTTCTAGATTTTCTTCTTGGTTATTTGGCAAGATAAAATTATGTGTTAATAATCTCTTAATTGGAGCTCTGGTGGCGTAGTACCTAAGGCATTTGACTACTAACCAGAAGGCTGGTGGTTCAAACCCACCAGCCACTCCTTGGAAGGAAGCTTGGGCAATCTACTTCCATAGTGATAGCGTCTCGGAAACCCAGGGAGGGGTCGCTGTGAGTCAGAATTGACTTCATGGCAGTGATTTTGGTTTGGTACTGTGGTGTAGTAAATTAAATAGTGTGGCTTTTCTAGCCATAAGTCTTTGTAAACTCTGGTGGAATTTGCCGTGAGCAACTGAGTAGCTCCTGATTGCTAAAGTTATCCACCTGGGGTATTTCTGTTGAGCCAACACAAAGCAATCTTCTGGGAAGTTTGTGCTCTCACAAGTGTATAGAATTCTGATGTTGGGATTGGTTAGTGGTCACTCTACCAGGCTTGAAAGGAGCACTTCTGGAGGCACAAGGAGTCTGACTGCTGGCTGAGAAAGATGTGCTGCTGAGAGAAACGCTCTCTTGAGTGACACATACTTGCTGAGAGAGAGACACGCATTGCCAAGAGAGACATTGAGAGATACGCACTGCTGGGAGAGAGACTGTTGGCTGAGAGACAGTGGGCTGAAAGAGACTGAGCGTGTTCCTGAACTTGAATTGTAGCCTGTTGCTTCCCTAATAAACCCCATAGTCTGTGAGTTCTGTGTGGCCACTGCAGCGAGTTTTTGAACCCAGCAGAGAGGTGGTAGGTGCTGCAGGAGGAAAGGTTGCTGTCAGGGTTGATGAAAGCGCTGGAGGGAGGGGGCATGTCTGGCCTCGCAGGAATAGGCCTTGGGCTACTGATGGTGATTCTGTCTTCCTCTTGTAGGGTTAGAGGAGGTCAGAAAATGAGGCTTCCCTGCCCCTTTGGCAGGTACTAAGTGCTAGAGAAGAAGCAGTGAAAAAATACATCATGATTATCCTTATGACTTATGCAGATAGGAACCTAGCTTCAAGCAAAAAAACTGTTGCCTATGCAAACATTCATTTCCTCTTTAATTTATACATAATGGTTTATTTTAAGTTATAAAAGAATGATATTTGGCAATGTTCAGTGAAGCTTTACCAGACAGAAAATATGCTTAGTCACCTTATTTACCCAATATACAGTATGAGAAGGGGAAAATGTTCGAAAAGACTAAGTTGTATTAACACGATAATGCTTAACAAGCTTATGCTTATGTTTCTTTACAGATCACTGGGTCACACACAATTCAAAATGCACGAATAGGAATAGGCTGAGTCTTTACATTAAACATGTTCTTCCTGAAAATCCTTAACTGTATGTCAGTCTGTCTTCGAGCACTAAAATTTGTCTATGTACCATTTTATATTTAATATGTCATATTTACATAGTAAAATAATAATGGCACAGCTAACACAAACAACTTCTGAACTGGAAGATGGGGGCATACGGTGGATTGGTGCTTCAAGTATATTTTTCCAAACATATTAGTTTCAGTGAAGAATTTTGGTAATCTTCACAGCTACTCTAAAAGCTACCTAACAAAAAGACTTCACGAAGATCAAACTATATAACACTGGATAGACATGCTTTAGAAAATATGCTGTCTTCTACATCTCCAAGAAAATGAATTCTTCAAAATATTATGTAAAGTGATTTAATACTTAAACCTTTTTTTTTTTTTTTTTTGGCTTGTTCTTTTGTTTTATGCTTTTGTAAAGTACCAAGAAAACACAAAAACATGAGATTGGAAGTAATGAATAGATGTTTTGAAAATATTATACAGGTATTTGCCTTCCTTCACTGAGCCAAGCTGTTTCCCTAAATTCAGACATTCAAGAATATTCTTCAGAATCTGAAGTGGCAGTTTTCCTGGCCTCATCAACAGTAGTGTCATGATCTCTGTCACAGGCTTCCTGCATCTCAGCACTCTTCTCTGATGTGTAAAACAGATCTCCGGGTTACAAAAGCAAAGCCTTAAACAAAGATAAGTTTTTCTTGAGCTCTGCTTTTTCTGCCATAGGAACTTTCAGGAGGACTAAAGGAACTGAAGAATTTAGCATTGGGAATGTGTTCAGTCTTGCTGGGTGTTTCATTTATAGTGTGATAGTTTGATGAATGGGTTTCAAAGTGACATTCTTTATTTCATATCATCTTGACAACCTTTATAAGCCTCAATTTTCCAATTTTCATAGACGAGATCAAGGGAAAAAAGGTTTTAACTCCTCTTCTTCAACACCTTACTTTTGATATAGTAATTGGTTCAAAATGTATATCAAATCTGAAACTTAAGGGCTGGCCAGGATCTGAGTGTTTCCTTGAATTTATTTTACGAAAGTCAGAATAGGTCCCCACTGTATTTTAATAAAAAAAAAAAAACCTGAGCCTTTTTAAAGGCCACCAATATTTAAAAATATATATATATATTAGGGTCCCTCCCTTCATCTATTTTTTTCCTTTTCGATTTCTGCCCCTCTTATTTTCGGCGTCATCGGACACCGCAGAGTGGGGATCCTCATCGTTCGACTCCTCGTCTTCCTCCTGCTCCTTCTCCTCATCCTTCTCCTCCTCGGGCTCCTCAGCTTCTAAGGTCCACACACATCCCTCCATTTCGCCAGTGAGCTCATGGATCTTTGCAAGTAAGGGCTGGTAGATGTCACTGTACTTTTTTTCCAGAGCGTGGAATTCCTTATCAAATTTGGCTTCTATCTTACCGCATCGTTTCTGAAGCTTTTTGAGGGCTGTTGTTGTTGTTGTTATGTGCCGTCAAGTCGGTCCCGACTCATTGCGACCCCTCCTTGGGTTTCCGAGGCAGTATCACTACGGAAGTAGATTGCCCAACCTTCCTTCCAAGGAGTGGCTGGTGACTCGGCATTTCACCGAGCTGGGCAGGTT